TGACACCCCAGATTAGCCCTTCCTTACTTGTTGAATTTGGGTTTCATAAATAATTAGCTAATAACGTAATAAAATTGCAATTATATATTTTTTTATCATATAAAATTTTTAATTATGTATAATTGAGTATGGAAAAAATGGTGTTCTTTATACTCGATTTTACTAATATTTTCACTAACTTTCTTAATAAATATAATTCTACCATATCTCTAAATTATTACTTAGCTACAACAACAAAACCTGCACAAAACCATACTAATTCATGTATTTTGCACCGCTTTCTCATTCGCAGGGCACCTGGCGTACGGATTATACGTGATGGAGCGGGAACAATTTGAATAATAATTTATTCAATTGAAAGTAAACAAGGCAAAAACGGCAATGCAAATCACACACTGCACGCAACCAACGCGCTTAACGGTAAACCGCCCAACAACAACATGCGAAAATACAAACATAAAAAAACCAGTGAACCAAAAAAGTCTTAAAGTAAAATATATTAGCTGTACAATAGCAACACGCTATTAAGAGCAACCAAAAGGAACGTAAAAGCCGTAACCGAGCACCCACGCCTACAACTTGAGCCAACAGCAATAGTATACCAGTTACAACAAGCCTATAATGACTTACAACTGACTACAACCACAACTTGCCAAGAACAACAAACAACACAGGAACATGAAAATATTTGCAAACAGAAATTTTTACTTGAAAATTTTGTTTTCACCAAACAAAAAAAAAATTAAGCAAATTTTTACGTGCGCTCTCTCTCCCTCGCACGCGCTCTCCTACACATACGCAGCAACGGTGCTTCGCTTTACTGTAAGGCGTTTTGGTTTGGTTGATAATACCGGGTTTATCCTGTCGCCGCCAACATTAATGAGTGCAACTGAAGTGGTTGTTCAAGTGGTGTGCAACATCATTAGTGACCAACACCGAACCCTCAAAGCAACCACACAAAGGATCAACACCAAATCGGGAAGCCGAATACCGAGTTTCATCTAATGCCGAGATTTACTCAATTCAGCGTGAGATTGTCTACAACAAAAGCAAAAAACCCGAAAATATTGCGAAAACTCAATTTGGACTTCACCACTTTTCAGCCGTGCGGTCATCGGTCACGCCGCACTTGTTGCCATGAGTTAAGCCCGGTTAATTGCGCTTCGTCTGCTTTATCTCGTACTTTACCTTCTCGAGTGTTTTGCATTCAACGAACGATTTCACGAACAGCTAAGCCACAGATCGGTCTGAGCTACTGTTTAAACCGCAGCGTGGTGGCTTAGCCAAAGGATTAACTCAAGTGCGGAATTGTGTTTGGTGTGTGCAACACACAATTGAGGAGTGGCCGTATGTGTGTATGTGCTGTTGTTATGTGAAGACTTTGAGGCGAGCGGACAAGTGCTTGGCGCCAGTTTATTTAGCATAATGTTAGAGGCGTATTATTTGGCGGTGCTTACTTGGAACCCGGACTAATCAGCTGCACTTTGCAGTGTTCGTAAATGCAGTTTTGAAAAAAATAACTATGAATGTGTATAGTAAACAGTACATGTTGCTGCAAATTATACATGAAAGAAATCGTGCTCAGAAAATATTGTATTTTATTTATGCCGACAAATATTTATATCACAGTTATAAGTGTATGCAGTTTTTATGGTTAACACATATGTATATATATTTCATTTATTTTTCTTTTTTATTAATTT